GTTAAAGAGTCACCTCCATGTTATTAGCATCAGTGCTAACAGATAGAAGCTTTAATAGCACAGATTAGACTGAATTTAAGATCTCCAAACCGTGTCCTCTGGTCATTCCTTGCTGAAAGACAAAAGTATCCTCCACGTTTACTGGCGTCCTGGAAGACAATGACTGATTGAGAATAGCTGGAACGAAGGAGGAATAATAATACACCATCATGACGCTTATGTATGTATGATGTGTCTGCTCTGCTGCTCGCTGGGCCCACACAGAGCAATCAAATACTCAGCTTGACCTTTTCAGCCATGCACAGCGTACCGTGCCTTATTGTTGCACTGAGTTTTAACAACAATGTGTTCCCTGGGTTAGTCGTCTGGTTACCATGCTGCTCCTGTGTTTTAACACTGCTGTTCCCTACTATTCCAACAGATGGAGCTCCACTGAGTGAGCTGTCATGGCCCTCATCACTGGCAGTGGTTGCTGTCTCCTTCTCGGGCCTCTTCACCTTCATCTTCCTCATGCTGGCCTGCCTCTGCTGCAAGAAGGGAGACATAGGCTTCAAGGTGAGCACATGACTGCCACCTGCTGGTAGCATAGAAAAAGAGAGGAAATGATAAAATACTCCAAACCACAAGTTCTAAGTGTATTCAAACAGTGACTACAGTACACTCTATTTACAGGTAACTCACATCAACATTTATTGTTGCATCTTTTAAAAATGATTTATAACTTTAACTTAAAAGTGTTGTAATTTTGATCAAACAAAATATATTACAGATGAGTGAATGTTGTTTTCCTTGTTTGTTAATGTTTAACAGAACAGAACTCACCTGTTCCAGCTCGGTACACACTGTCTGTGTTTTGCCTTAGCTAGGGGTATGACTCATCCAGGCTGTATCAAAAGCTAACACTAGCAGGCTGCTCACTCCTTTGCTGTCTCATACATTCCCATATTAAACTGTTCTAATTTGGAAAGAAAATGACAAATGAGTGTGCGCTACTGAACAGCAGAGTCTGTTAAAAATCATTTATGTTGCTCATCTGGAAAAATGATTCAAGGGGGAGAAAAATGTTATCCGGCGGTCTGTTAATTAGAAATGTGCAGGGAATAAAGGGCAGAGTAGAACAGAGTGTGTGAGCAGACAGAGCACCTTGTTCTCTGTTCTTCAGGTAAGGAGTGAGAATTAGAACCGATGCTCCAGCATTTACACTGAACAGCGAGAGCAGCCCTCGGTGAATCGATGCTGCAGGGATAACGGTGACTAATGAACACAACACAAAATGCACTCGTTAACATTTTCTTGTGTTCGTGTGGGCCTCACATCATTCCCCCTTTGGATCATTACAGTATGTATGAGTGTAAACTCATTATAATAGCTTTGGAAATGGTGGACGCCAATGTCTCCATTTTTAATTTAACAATTACTTCTGCTTAGTCAGCCCAGTGTCACACTAATGACTCATCATTTCTTTTCATGACAAAAGGGTTTTGTTGAGAAAATCACCTTCTCTCTCATGCTTTGCTGAGGTCACTCCGCTGATCAATAGCTGAGGTTTGTGGAGATGTTTCCAGGCATCAGTTACTGCCCTCCATACTGTGAATCAAACAGTGTTGGTCACGAAGCCCAAAGCTTTGAACTCTGGTGAAATGGCTCTAACCAGGCTGTGGCCAATCATTGACACTTCTTATGTCCTGGGAAACTATATATATATATTTTTGTCAGTTAAAATCAGCTTTGTTTGATAGCCTTTGGCTAATCTTTAGCATTTTTTGAGCTAGTATATACTGTAGTTATCATTTGTACAATTTTAATACCTAATAGGTTTATTCTCCATATAAAATAGAAGAAGTACATTTAAAAAATAACACTGCTGTTCATGTTGTAAATGTGCATAGAAAACCCATAGTTAAACTTCTTACAGAAACCCAATGGAATCTATGAAGTTCTTGCTGTAAGGCAGGAGCATAAACCCACAATGCCACTGTATCACCCTAGTTTTTTACAATACATTTCAGACTATTAGCTTTAATTGCATCCATTCTTCCTCTTGCTCCTTTCTGTTTGGCAGCAGTCATAAAAAAATGATAAAATGGTCCAAGTCTGTTTGTCCCAACTATTCAGCACCTCACCGTGTAACCTGGACACTCATGTGGGGCAGAAAAGCTGCACCGCTGCACCCTAGGAAAAAAAAAAAAAAAGCTCAATTATCCCTATCCATCACGGTGCTCTTACTGGAGTGTGTAGTGAGGCTGGATATTAAGTGCTTTCCAAATGAAAGCTCTCTGGGGAGCTATGCAGTGCTGACTCACAGCCAGGTGCCTGCTTTAACACTCCACGCTCAGAGGAGAGTGGCAGATGGTTCCCCTGAATGAAAGACAAGTCTGTATGCATACCTATGGACTGGAAACACACATACACACACAGTACACAAAGAACTATGCAAATGTGTCACATTCCCTGCCTGAAACACACTGTTTTGCTTTTCTGCCGTTCTCCTCACATTTTCCTTTTCTCTCCCTGCATGTGGGAGATAGTCTCTTTATGAGCAACAGTCCACTGACCGTGGAACAGACAGATGGGTAAAAGGCTTGTAAACATAGCATGCTGCCATCAGACTTCCCGGACAAACCAACAAAACAACGTTAAAATTAGATATCGAAGAATGCCTCTTTCTTATAAGCCACACATTCATCCAGGTCTGGATTCAAAGACCCTCCATATTGTTCAACACACTTCAGGCTGGTGCTTTTCAAGGGTCACTGCAGCGGGTAATACACCTTTATGATCTGTCACTTGCTGACACACACAACACTCCCAGCAGGACATGTGCCCAGGTTTAACGTAGCTTGGAATTGGAATTGCATCACTCTGACTTCTGTTTGGTTCATTAAACCCAGGACATGTTTTCATTAATCTGGTCTCACAAACCAAACATCTGGATGAAAAGAGAGAAAACTCTCCAGGTAATTCTGGGACAGGTAACTCCCCACCCCTTTCCTGCAGGGGGTGCTATGACCACAGACCTTTAAGATGAATTGAGCTGACAGATATTATTATTTCTATATTATTATTATTCATATTATATATATTTTATTATTTATCTTTTTTATTAATAAATGAGTCATACAGCTTTCAAATTAAACAAATAGAGCTGTGGTTTGTGCAGGCTGTAAAGAAAAGACAAATAGTGGATAAGACCACCATTGTATTTGAGATGTGAATAGAGAATAGCCACACATTAGTGTATAGTTACCCTACAGAAGCCACGCAGTGACTCACACAATTTACTACACAATGTACACGGCTGCAGTACGTGGTCGAGTGGGTGTGCCTCGGTGCATCTCAATGTCCACACAGCGACGCCATTGTCTCCCACTGTGGACGGGACTAGATAAGTCATTTCAGTTTGTGTCGTTGCACCAGGAGTTTGACAACAACGAGGGAGAGGAGTACCAGGCGGATCTGGCCTCGCCCACCGCCCAGAATGGCCCTGAGGTCTACATCCTTCCCCTCACTGAGGTCTCACTGCCAGTCTCCAAGCAGCCGGGCAGATCCAGTAAGACCCAACACCGTCAACACGTCACACCACTCACAATCTGCTCTACGTTGTTTTGTTTCCTTCTCTTTTTTCAATGTTTATTTCAATCACTACAGACGGTTTAGGAAGCAGTTTTCCATCATTTATGAAACTATAAAAACCAGCAATTTCCACCAAAAAGCACAGTATTTTTTTTGATTAATCATGATTAATTCAGATTAATCAACAATCCTAAAATTCCGTACAATACAGTAACAGAGAGGACATGGACAATGTATTACTATTATTTTTTATGTATTCTATTCAAATTAAAATAAAACAAGACATCTTGAGCTTCTTGGTTGAAACAAAAGATTTTCATTGGCAGTAACCAAGAAAAGACAGGATTGGAGATGAACGTAGGCATTGGAGAGACAGCTGTGGTTATGCAGTGTGACATATGCTATGAAAAGGTCATGAAAATGTTAAACAGAGACAGAGCTGCTCGCCAAAAGCCAGGATAAAGGATTTTATAATTTGGGATTACTGGGCAGATTAGCACAGCCTGGTGGTGTGGAAATAATTGGACTTAACTCCACTGCATAAAGCCCGTTGACGCATCACAAGTACTTCATCAACAACTGGGTATTCGCGAGTAATACTGTTTAGAATCTGAGCGTCAGTGCTAACACTGCAGCTTGTTTCTGCTGCCTGATGAAAGCAGAACGTTGAAGTACGTGTGTTGGTGCCTGGTAGTTACCAGTCCCCGCATGAGTCACTCTGGCCTTTTTTTGCCTCTGCTGCACTTTGCTCAGCCAAAAGGGAGGCAAGCTGCGGCTCAGCCTCACAGGATGCAAGTTCCAGTAATTATTGGACGAGGCAGCCCCAGGCCCACAGCCAATCACTACTCTCCCCTCCGTCTTCCATAAATACCCGTCGTATGATTGGTCCAGGTGTTGCAGGGTGAGATATTGGAGGCCTGGGAGTGAGAGGCCACATGATGGGAGAGTAAGAAGAAAAGGGATCCACCACTCAGGGGTTGCATCTCAAATAATTGGGTTAAAACGAAATATTTTATGCAGTTAAATAATACCTGACCACCTTCTGGATCATTTCCATGGCGACTCTATCAGACAACAAGACACTTAATTATTATTCCTGGAATTCATTGACTGATCTCTTCTCTCTCAACTCTTCTGTTTCTCATGTTTTTTTTTAGTCAGGTATTTCTGACAATCTTTTTTTTTTTTATATTTTCTTTATTGTATTTTTAGCCATGGTTAGCCTTCTATTGGTTAGCCTTCTATTTAATAATGCTTATTAATCTTTTACCCGTGGCGCTTTGGCCCAGAGACAATGTCTCTGTCATTGGTGTGGAACCCCAGGGTTCACCTCCTGGGCAAGATCAAATCCTGGTTAGGGCGGTTGGCGCCTTCTAGTGGATTCACCACCTGCAGGAAGGTTCACGAGGGCTAGTGCGGTGCAGTGTGATTTGGGTGGAGGTCATGGAGAAATATTAATATTTAGCTAACCATAATTTTAGTTACTGGTATAAATATATATTTTAGCTACTTTTTGCGATTTTTATGAACATCTGGGCGAAGTTTTTGTGTTTACAGTTAGCTCCAAATTTAGCACAAAAAAAATGCAACAACGTTTAAACATGCATCAAGAATTTGTTGGTTAAAACATAATTACATTTTCAAACAAAACATTTGCTTTACGTATTTAAAGTAGTTTTTTTTATCAAAAATATGCTGTTATAGTTATTTGTAAGGACAGATTTTTTTATATTGAGTTTTTTCTATTGAACCATTTCTAACAAATGCAAAATTATTGCGATTGTCCAACAAGAAATTACCAAACTATACGTCAGAAAATAAAAGACTTCTTCAATACAGACTGAAGTTTTTTGTGTTTAAACCCAAAGTACGTCAATGTCTGTGTTCTCAGTCCAACAAAAGTGTACGTTGAAAATGAGCCTAGCTTTAACACGCAGTATAAAAGCAGAGATTGTTTGGTTGATAATCCAAGCATGAAGAGCCGGGCGTCAGGTCACTGACTGGACAGTCCTGTGTTTCACCCATCAGCTCCGATCTTTAATTGAAGAGTTTATGTGGAAGCTTTACCACAGAGGCACGACGCATTCAGATCAGTGTGTAAAAACAATATTCTGTGTGTATTATCCCCTCGACCCACTCGTCCTGTGTCCACCTTCTCTGAGAATGCAGCGAGTAGGACAGCAATGCACAGTCACACATTCCACATTTGGATAATACCACCGCTTAATTTCTTTCTCTCTCCCTCTACATTAGGGAGGGCGGGGGATGGAGGAGGGTCATGGGTTGGTGTGGAAAAAAAAGGGGTCTGTTATCAAGTCGACGACCTCTGCACATCGTTCCAGCGGAGAATGGCCCTTGTGTGTCTCTATATGTGCCTGGCGTCCTGGTACCAAGAGACACAGAATGAGCGTGTGAGCGAGCAAGAGGCGAACAATGGGTCCGATTTAGTCCAGGCGGGCAGTGGGTGAGCGTAAGGCCGGGCTGAGACGTCCATGGAACGCACCAGTGGAGGATTGACATTATGGCTGGAAGACAGTGAGGGGTTTGTGGCACGATGAGAAGAGACAGGGGCAGGGTGGTGGCATGCACCAGGATTTAAGAGTGGGGAGGGCTGTGTCCAGATAGTGGTGGTCAGCGTATGACAGAGGTCTTTTCTGCGACTGACAGAGCCGTGTTTGTGTCCTGTTTGGCTGAGGAATGCTGGTGTCCTGGGTGACAGGCGGGCATTATGTGGGCCTTATTTCACTGCTGGGTGTCTTGAAGCTGCACACAGAGCTGCTGCCACACACAGCACTGCAGCATCATGCGTGACGGTCACACCTGGTATGGAGCATGAAAATCTCAGCACCCAGGAGAGCAGAGGTCTGTCCCCGACCACCGGCGTCTGGTCGTCGACCAACGCGGAGCTGCTCTGTCTGTCCGACTCTGTCGACTGTAGATTTAAATATATGGATTTCTCTCTGTTTGCCTGACAGCTGGAGAGCTGTGGACGAGGACACTGTGTTTATGTGTCCCAGTTGGAAGATGGGCTCGGCGTAGTTGGGGAGAGGCAGCGCGGAGAGCTTGTTCAGCTGTGCGAGGGCTTGGGGTTAAATCCTGCCGAGGATCTCTCACGCACACACACATCAAGGTCCCGGGCTCTTTCTCACATGCACACGATGAGGCGAAGGCGCCCGGGGTTGGGGCCAGGGCAGTGGGCTCTTGGTTCTCACACTCTGGAGCAGTGCTACACCCTCACTGGGACACAGACTCTTGGTCCCTGTCGCGGTGCTCGGAGTGGCCGGCCACTCGCTGCTCTGGCGCAGTTTTCATCCACTTCACTCTGGCAGGATGAGGATTCATGGAGGTATTTTTTTTATTATTTTATTTTTGCACAGCTCTGAATAGAGTGCAGATGTTTCTGCAACATCTCCACAACTATTTTAGTAACAACATGTCCAGCCAGGGAGAGATACTTTTATGATTTGCATTCCATCTATATTAGGAATTTGTACTTGTTTTG